CTCTTGTACATAAATGCCAAGACTTAAAAGATGCCATCAAGACATAAATGTAAAATTAGATACTAAATCTGAAACATTAAAACAATTTAAAAGAGGAAGGTACTGCTTCTCTTGCACAACTTTTGTGGTTTTGAGTTATGACTGAAATGAGTCTTTCAACTCTTAACCTTTATTAACTTGCCACTTTGAGAGATTTCCAAAGTCTCCGAGACTTCTTGTATCAAGGTACACATGTAACAAAATTCTCTTTTCACCAGCTAGTTTCTTTAAACAAAAGGATCAGATCTGTGGCATTTCTTGTTGTTTTTGAAGCACAAAGTTGCTGTTTCTTGTCACTGTTGGTATTGACAGTGCATGGTAGGAGAAATACAGGAACTCTGGGTAGTGAAGTTAACAAAGTACAGAGGAGGTCAATGGTTGGTCTATGGTTGATGTGGCATCATCTAACAGACCTGAAGCTATCTATTTTTTTAAATAGGCTTTAACTATTTTGATGATTTGCAAATACTGAGGGAAACGAGTTTAGGTTTCTTGTGATAGGTTATCTGATTTTTCTGAACGAAACAAAGACTCCATAGCAAGTAGGCTGAAGGAATTGATGACTGCTGTGCAAATCCCCCTTACTGAGATGGGAAATGGAGCCAGGAAACCAAGCACCTGTTTTTTTCTGGAAAATGGGAATTTACTGTGCTCTTTCTGTGGTAGGCCCAGCAGCATGAAATATCTGCACTGTGTCTCACAGAGAGGGGAGTGAGAACCAAGTGCTTTTTGGCTAAGGAAAGACAATGCAGGAAAAGGCTGAAACGGTTTACTTAATTCCAAAACTTCATTTACTAAATACAGGATTTTTTACAAGCTACCAGGTGAGGCTATTGACACAGTGTGTCACAAAGTTGCCTTGTAATATAAAATGTTTTGAAATAGCATGTGCAATTAGCAGATGGACTAATTAGGGAGTAAATTATTTGTGGTAGATAACCAGCAGACAGGGCAAAGCAAGGTTATCACAAGAGCAGGGTAAAAAAAAAATCATGAGTATTTGCAGAATTCGTGATAAGCTGTGTTTCTTAAATTGAATCTGGCGGTTATCATGAGCACAATACAAATACACATCTTTAAAAATAGATCTGAAGTTATTAAAGCAGAAAATAGGAGAAAATGAATGTGGGAACCTATATTGGGGTTTCTTTTTTTTTAATGTCTTTTTTTTTTTTTCCCAACACCCTTTTCCCCATTGTCAATGACAGCAACTGCACCATTGTGAGAAGTTAATAGTGCGTGAGATTTTGGTTAGAGACTGGTGGTGTACTGACTGAATCTTGACACAATCTAAATCCGCTGTCTTCCTGCATAACTGAGTTCAGTAAACAGTTCATCAGTGGCAGGCTAGGATGTTTCTTTCTAGGGAAGTGACCAGGAAATGAGGAAAGAAATGGTTGAGTTTGATGGTCTTATAAAATAGATAGAAAAGAGAACAGGTGAGGGGAAAAAAAAACCAGCACAGAAAAATTGTAAATAGAAAGATAGAACAGTTACACTACAGAATAAGAAACTGAGTGATGGAAAATTCAGAAGAGGAAGAAAATGCAGCAAATTTAGGAAGTAAATGGATGCAGAATAAGATGGGAAGCACAATCCTGAGACAAAAAAGAATTCTACTTTTTATTTTTATAGAGCTTAGTGTGAAAAGGAATACAACAAATTGTTTGAGCTGGGCTGCTGGATATTACAGTGTGAGATACTTGCACTGATGTTCATAAAGAGCACCTTTTGAGGGTATACTTGAATATAAAACCCAGAAATCCTCTATGGCTACACTGTGTTTAGAACTATTCTGTTTGTGGTAATCCTGTTTCGAATTTCCTGTTCCATTCAAAATGTATGTACCTTCCCATTTGTCCCTCTGAATTACCATTTTACCTTCAAAACTCAAATTTGTTGCATTAGTTGCCGGATGTTTTCCATCAAAACCTGCTTGAGGTTATTTTCCTCAGGCTTTTGTAGTATAATGGTGTCAGAGTGTTTAAAATAGAAACACTCTTCAAATCCAAATTTCTATTTTGCTGACCTTCCCTCTTTCTTTACTTGGTTTTGGCCTGGAATAGACTCCTGTGCTGTGGAAAGTCCCTCGAGCTTTTCCTTGGGAAGCAGTGCACTCATCTGGGAGATGTCCATTATACACAATCTCTGCAATGCAGGTTTTGTATGTTCTTTGAAACTACAGCAAATATAAGTGGCACAGTGTTTGCCAACTTTGTGTAGGATATATTTGACACTTGAAGAAACAAGGAACTACTTAGGACAGATATCTTGGTGCTATTTCTTCTCAATTACCGCACATGCATTTTTTTAATTCTAGAATTAAATGTATAACAGTAAAGGCATGGCTGTACACACAAAGTGGCTTTTTGCCTCCAGCGACCTTTTTATGCTTTTATATAAAACTGGCACAAAAACTCCAGAACAAAACATCCAATTTTAATTTCACAACATTACTGGAAAATAAAAAAAAAATATCCAAAACTTTAAGGTATATGCATAATGGTTTATGTATACAATGAGAAAAAAATGAGAAAGCAGACACTGCTTCCAATTTATACATGTAATGGAAATTATTAAATTATATTGGAAGCTAAGGATGATAAACAAATGGTCTGCTTGTGCAGCTCAGTCAGTGGCTGGGTTACAGTGAGATGAGATTAGTCTGTGTATTTCATTAGTGCAATAGTTTGAGGGCAGGTTACCTTGCATGGCATGAAGAAGGTTGCAGTGAAGAATCAGGATTTGCCAACAGCTGTGCTGCATGCACCCGTGCATCCCAAGGAATAAGCATCTGTGCTTTATGATGTAGACAGCAAAGAGGCATGGCTATGTAGTGTGCTGAGGTGGTGCTGTATTGCCACAAAGCTTCTCGCTTCTCTGCTGGGACCTCGTCCCTGCTGTCCCCTGTTTATGTAGCTTCTGACTTTTGGCAAGTGGGGCTTTGCCTGCATGTACCTGTTTTGCCAACACCTACCTGGGTGTTGGGAGCAGGCAGCCTCTCCCAGCCCCGTCCTCCTGCCCTGTGCTGCAGTGGGGTGGACGATAGCAGATTGCTAAAGATGAGCCAGGATGGTTTGCAGAGATACTGTGCTGCTAGTATTTGTTATTAAATTTTTTAAAAATTTCTGGGATATGCCTCAATCAACACTTCTCTACTTGACCTTAAATTAAGTAAAAACTGGAATAGAATGGATGTAAGAAACACTATATATAAACATTCATGTTGAAGTGTAGACACACTGACAAAATTCAGGCAGCTCAAAAATAAGAGATGACACTCTGTCCTTAATTTGTACCAGTGGGAAAAAAGATGTGAAAAGATGTATGTCAGGCGCAGAGTATCAGCTGGGATTTGTGTTCCCACCCACATCCAAATGTTAACAATAAACTTAGTCATTGAAGTTTTCAGGAAAAAAAGCTCTTCAGAAAGTTAAACATAAATCTGTGCTCTGTAAAAATTTTAATTGGATAACAATCACCAGTTTGCATTAATTATGAAATGTAACTTAATTTATGTCTCCATTTTATAACATTTATTTTGGGTTGTAAATACGTTTTTTTGAAAGCTTGCTAAAAACATGCAAATATGATGGATACTGTGCATCTTTAAATATATAGCTCAAAATTTCAATGCAGTAGCTCTGGTTGCACTGTAGCAATATAAGTTTGCAACATACTAAATACTTAAAAAAAACATTCAGATTTCCTTTGGGCATTAAATCACATTCTGGATTAAATAATTGGCCAAACCTATATTCTCTTTCTTTTTTTTTAAATTTTTTATTTACTTTTTTACTAAATTTGAAAGGTAGTTTTAACATGTGTAAGTAAAATATCATCAAATAATTATTTTAAACTTATTTCTTTGATTCTGACTAAAATATTGTAATTTCATCCTTTAATATTCCTCAGTTTGCTCAATGGTTTTCACCCCTCTTACTTTTGTTATCCAGATATAAAATTCCAAAACAGGGATGTGTATAGTAAAATGTTGACTTGGTCTTATCAATAATAGTGCAGTACTAAGAGACAAGCCATTGGGTACTTAATGTTATAAGTATAACAATTCACTTTTAAAGTAGTGATAACAGACTTAGTATATGATACAACATTCCAGCTGTTTTATTTTTTTTTAAATAAAATAATACCTTGATTTAGTTGTATTCCACCAGCATGAATACATTCATAGCAAATTGCATGCACATAAAAGGGAATTAGTTTGTAAACTACATAATATCTTAACAATAAATAGTATTTGATCTAATACATGATGGTAGTGCATTTCTTGTTAAAACTGCAAGCTTTTACCAAAATGAAAACAAACTCTTATTCTCCTTATAAATATTTTAAATAACTTTTAAGTACATGTTTCATACCAAGTATATAAAAATAGTATTTTTAGATAAATAATGAGGTTTCATTTACATGACAAATAACGTGCAATAACTAACCACTCTCTACCAGCTCTAATTTGGTTGATTGTCTGGATGACATGCAGTGATAATTGTCCCTTTGCCTTCACAGAACTGACAAACAGACTAGCAGAACCCATGATCACCTGAAGCAAACAGTGCCATAAATATTGTTTGGGAACAACAGTCAGACACTCAGGGAAAACCTTTGCTTCAATGAATAAAAGCCACCCATGAGAGTTCCTTTGTCCTATACTTCCAGCTGCTCTGACCCTCAGGGTCTTTGGACTATCACAAAAGTCTGCCAAACAGACCAGTAAGTTATATCTGTATATAAAAAGCTGTTCAACATGCTTCTAGAATCTAGAAATTATTTTTTTTCTATAGTATGAACCAGCAATACCTTTTCTTACTTTCTATAAATCTGAATTTTGTAAGTCTCCATGATCGCCAGAGAAAAGGTCAAAAAAGCAGCCGTGCAGTACTCTCTAAATTTAAAACTGGCAGCTGTGGAACATGCTTTCAGTACCACTTCACTGTTTCTTGTTATACGTCTATGGCTTGGTAATCTTTATCTTTAACATCCCTTGTGCTTGTCACAATGTCTATTGGGAAATCTGGAGTCTGTGTAGAAACTACTCCAGCTGTTCCTTCCAGGTCCCACAATCCTGGCAGGTTCTCAAGGCTTAGTGAGCTGATTGCGCCTTGGCTAAAGCTACCTTCCTCAGATCTGCTGGGGAGCACGAGGTGTAAGGATGTCTCTGATGAGGAGCATACTGAAGAAGAAAGAGTTGCTGAAATAGACTGGAGAGGAGTTAAGGTAGTGTCTGAATGGGGAGAAGTGCATCTTAAAAATTGCAAATTGTCTTTCTGAATTACCTGATACTGGGAAGGGGAATTGTGAAGGCCTGGTGTATAATAAAATTCACCGTCCATAGAATTTTGCAGGTTGGGCTCTGTTCTCTGGGGACTGCTGCCTACAGAGGACAGATCTGTATTCCAAATGTCACATAATGTGTTGCCATGGCAAAGTTGTGCTTTGGTGCAAGTAAAGTTCCCAGCTTGCATGTTTGTGCAAGGTTGATGCGTAGTCCAAGCTATTCGAGACTGTAGACTTTCCACAGTAGGACTTCGAGACATGCCATGGACAGCACAGATCCCTGGAGGCTTCTGGGATGTAAGGAGGTTCTCCAGAAGGTTCATCACATTCTTCATATCCTTACTTAATTGTGAGACTTCTTGAGTTAAAGTTGTCACCTGTTATGGCAGGGCAAAATATTGCAGTATTTATCTGCCTGAAATACACACGTACATACCTTTTTTCCTTCTAACAATATCAGCTTTGATCTGAGGCACGATATCTTTACTTTGGAGAAATATACTCTACTAATATACATATGTGAAATAGTCTATCCTTACCACAGCTACATGTTAAACTTCCTGTGACATATTGAAATAACCAAAGCAACTCAATAAAAATGTATGATGGAAGCACTGTAGGCATAATTCAAATGATTTTGAATTATACTCTGTATATAAAGAATGACCTCAGGATCAGAACTGAGATGATTTCCAGTGGCAATATGACATCAATAGTTTCTTTCTTAATCATTAAATTATTTAATGTGTAAACATCTTTAATTAATCAATTTTATACTGATGAATGCTGTAAAAATGAGGTCTCGTGAAATCTTATTCAGAAATACACGTTAAATATACTGCTGTCTTCATAGTAAAATAAAAGAAACCCATATCAGAAGTTACTGTATGCAAGTGAAATTAAACTTTGGTGGACTACTACTAAAACCAAAACAAAACAAAAAACCTGAAGAATAAAAGAAACTGGATACCTTAAAAACCACTTGCTACCTCTAAACATTTAAATAATATAAATAATAATAAAAAATAAAAGCCTGTGAAAGAGTTTTCTTCTGTGTAGTTGTTTATGCTTAAGAGGTATAGTATATAACACTTAGAGAGATAGTAAAAACCATAGCATAGATTGCTCTGGTGTGTGTGCAAAAGGAAGAATCATATTTTCTATTAGGCCTTTTATCTTTAATGCTGAAACCACAGATGGCATTCAATTGATTAACAACTTCATGTTATTCATGTAGTCTCCCCAAAACTGCTCGTTTCGGTGGGGATCAGATTAACAGGTTCTGAATTTGTGTTTTAAAGAAAGTTGATATATGAACTTTAGTGGGGACATTCATTAGGACATTATAAGGACATTTTAGGAAGTGAAAAGCCTAACACAAACATGAAAGCGACCCATTTACAATTTTGAATGTGTTTGTCTTTCCTTTTTCCTTCTTAAGGAAAAGTTAGTAGGAAGTTAAAATCAGTCAATTGAACCTATCAAGAGATAGAAATGAACTTTGTCTCCATGGTAGTTAATCAATCTATTTTAAGTCAAATTGCTGTCATTAGTATTAAAATAAAGTTTCTCATACTGATGCTAGTGAACATTTTCTGTTGAAAAAAAGATATGACTGCACATTTATCTTCAGAAGTATAAACTATCCTGTCAGAAAGAAAAAAAGGCTAATTCAAGGCCTTTCTTTGCCCTGAAGTAAAGACACTACCGATTAGGTGCCCTACACAGTTTAATTTTCATATAGTCAGAAATAGCAATACAATTTTCATTTTTCTGACAGGATAGTTCAAAAGAAATCTGCTGAAAAGACATTTCAGACTGAGTTTGACTGTGTTACTTCAGGCATAGCAATTATAAAAAAATTCCAAGTTAGAAGGAAAGTAGGAAGCTCCAATACAGCTCCTGTACATCTTTTCATTTTTCTCTGGGCTGAGAGTTCAGACCCATCATATTGTTCAGTAGTTTTGTAATGATCACACTACTCCTGCCTGAAGGGAAAAATGTGTAAAGGGAGGAGACTCTTGAGTGGCACATTACAGGATCTCCCTCTGTCTCCCTCTCCATCTCTTTTTCTTTCTGCCTTGCTACCTAATTAACTCATGCTAGATAGAAAATAACAATGAGGTCTCCTTCTACCAGCTGAGATTAAGCTTTGAATGCCTGGTAGCTCATTTGAACTTCGGTTAATATAAAGGATTAAAATATGTTAGGAAAGTGATTTGTGAACAGGCTTCCTGTGGGATGAGAGCAGCCAAAGAAGGTTCTTGGGACTGTCAGACTGTAATGAAATACACTGTGAGGTTTCTGGACAAAACGACCATGCAAGAACTTCTGTGCTCCATTGGGAGCTGGAGATGGCATAGCAAAACCTCCAAAGCTTCTTTGAGAAGAAAGGGGGAAGAAGGTCATCCAAACCTATGGCTACCTAGATTCAGTGGTCATCGGTTCTTTTTTAGGATCATCACCAGGCTCTACTCCTAGCAGATAAAGAAACTTTCTTTCCTGTGCCTAATTTCCTAATTTACACCCATTTTACAGGACTTTCTGCAGTCGTACAGATATGAAGATTGATGCTACCTTATGAGTATGCACCTTACCCAAACTATGAATGCTGTGTGAAAACATATGCAACTTTATCTTTTTTTATTTGGTCCATGTTTTTCTTTTCCATTTCCAAAAGGCTTTTTTAAAAAAAATTATTAATCTTTAACATGTTTCTTTTGCCAATTCATTGAGATAATACAGCAAAAATCAGTCCCAGCATCAGTACTTGTGGCGGACCTCAATTTCTGTTAATTACAACTTGCTCTAGTGCCCAGATACTATTTTTGTTATATCAGCTAGTTCTTAAGGTGCTGTCCTTTCATAAGCTTGCTCTTGCACAGTGATAGGAACTGACCTGATAAACCAGCCTTTGATGTATGCTTTAATAGTTTCCATTAGTGTGATAGTTCTAAACTCAAAGCTTTGCGCCAGACTTCATTGGAAATCTACCACCATTTAGTGAAATCTATTTGTACCAATATTGCTCAACACATAGGCAAAACAAATAGGTAATTTTCTGGATAATTTAAAAGCTTTTCTGGATTTTATAACTTGTTAACTTTACTGGATTAAACCTTCAATGTCTCTACTACTATTAATTACTATCTCTATATTATTACACCTATAGTGTACTAATGCTGTTACTACTAATACTATACTGTTTATGCTGTCCTTTTGACACCCTGCAGAGGTTCTCAAGCAGATGCAAATAAGAAGGTGTAACAGGGAACAATTTTATCAATAATGTTAACAATTTCACAGTGCTCCAGAAAGTGCAAAAGAACAGAGATTAAAAGCAAAATAAATTTTCTGCCTACGAAACAGAAATTGAAAGCAGCACAGTTTCCTCCCAAGTGAAAGGACTTATTCCTTGCATGATGCTAAGGCGACTCTCTTTTCAGGAGTTCGGTGATTATTGCTAGGTAATCCAGCCAGTTGTACAAATGGTTCCTGCTG